ACCGCGTTTCTGCTTATCGCTACGCTGTGTGAGGTCTACGTTATAGCTAACAGCATAATCTATTAGGTGCTACAAACGCGCGTCACTTTCTTAGACCGTTGTCTTCAGGCTTCATGATTTGTAATTAGAATGGCCACAAAGAATTGAAAATCAACCTACCGGCTTACAACATGAACTCGCCTCGCAACATGGAGAACTGGGATGTACCGGTATCTGAGGGTTGAGGCTGGACACACACGCTGGTGAGCCACGATTGTCTATATGGAAGAGTCGCCACTGCTCGCCACATCGCTGATAGACGCCTTCGGTTTCGGAGACGTTATAGCTTTGAGGGATAGGACCCAGCTAAAAGAGCACGGTGCGATGCTGTTTGCCTGTGAACGAGAGATTTTGGCAAGTGCATCATTCACTGGTACAGAAACTAGGGAACTCAGTGGTAGCAAGGACAATCATCTGACGGTCACCGAACAGGTTATGGCCTGGAGGAGCAGGGTTGATGTTATACCGAGCCACGTCTATCTATCCTTTCGATTCACACCGCCATACGCTCTCAACATTGAATGATGATCCATATGTTCCAGGTAGGCTCCAGACAACACGCCGACCCTCGATGGCCATGTCTGGGAGAGATAGTACCTGCTGACCGTCCTTGGCAGGCAGCGCTACGACGATTGAAGGCCTCAGAGCAACGAACACCACCTGAGGGGCCAGTCGTCATAGCTATGATTTCTATTCAGTTCTTCATGGTAAATATCTTATCAAGGCGGTTCGACACCATTATCATTGTGTCGAGCAGATCTTGAAAAGATATCATCATCTCATCGCTTAGTATTAGGACCACGGTCCAAGAGCGGTGTTTTCCATTGGCAGCTGTAGGGCGCGTTGAGGTCATTCTCAACTATGGTGGGAATTGTCTGCCGTTGTGGAAGGGAGGGAAATGGAGGAGAGGGTAATATGGCATCAGAGTCTTGGCCTTCCTTGCTCCCGACATCCATGAATAATTTCATCCCCATCAAAAATAACACGCTAATATCCATTGTGCCTCTCTCCAGACTCCGATGGCGTTGAAGAGCTGGTATGATTTTCCGTGACATACTGGCTTTGTTCTTGACCGGCGAAAATCTTGCAGACCCGCCTCTTTCACTTTGGCGAGTTTGTTGGTGAGATGACCCATAATAATACCCTTCATTTGCAGAAAATGAACTCAGTACGTCGTGGTGTCAATCTCCACTCAGCTAGAAAAGCATTATATTTTAACAGAAGAATATAAATAAGGTCTATGAACGAGCGTGAGTAAGTAAGTATCAGACACGGTAAGGTATATGTACCTCAGTCAGGCACAGCGAAGGTGAAACGACTGAGGTACCTGGGTAACGACGGCTGGACTAGATAGCGATCGAGAAAGGACAGGAGGTAAGTATATATATAGTAAGATTGAAGAAAAGATAATGGGTATCCGATATGGATATCCTGCAACATTATATAGACTCGACAATGATGGTTGTCGAAGGTACCTGTGTAACCACCACGAAAGCTGCAGCTGGTGATACGAAGGATCGAGCAAGATCATCTGTGAGGCGATTTCCCCCTGTGCATCTTTTCGTCCGGTCATTTTTCACAGCTTCATTTCTCCAGGTCTCATGTCTCTCAGCATCTGACAGCCAAAATTCACGGCAGACAGGCCGCAGTTACCCCCCCCATCATCCTCACCAGCTGCACACGCGTGCTGGGCTTGCCATTGACGATGCATGAGTAGGCGTATAGCATCTTCGGAAACGAAGCTAACATCTTTTCCCGGAATCAGAGGGCTCCGTATATGCGCTTTCAAATACAAGCCGGAACACCTACGCCATGAATTCTCCCTAGCTATGGCCCTGCTCTACACTTGATGTACTTATCACTTCGACTAAACGAGGAGACAATATACCAAAGCTAAATAAAGAATTGAAACGTCCAGTGCTTTTACAGCATGCAAACGAGAGCCAAATGCGGGTCCGGGCTCTGATACGTACGGGAAAAGTTGTCAACGTAGAGAGAACAGCCAGACGTGACGGAGGCGCATGTGGTAATCAACACTACCTTCAAAGTCTGAAGAATAATTCACAGTCAAGACTCGACGACATGGAAAAATATCGCGTCGTGGTTGCCTTTGGAAGAGTCTGCGCATGAACCAAGTGGATACGATAACCGTGTTCTGGTGAATCTGGTCTTCAGATTTAGGAAAAGAAAAGTTACCCACACCTAATACGGCGCATGGACCTTCTCAGATTCGAACTGGAGTCATTCAGTATGTAACGAAACGACTATGCCAAAAGGTCCCTTGTTAGTACACCGCTCCTATAAAATTTGTTGTCGATAATGTGATCTCTATGTATAAGAGACTGTCAATAAGGACTTTACAAGAAATGAATGACTTTTGTCTTTCTCCCCATATCGATTGCTCGGAATATTTTGGCGAGTTCTCCCTCCGTGAGGAAAGAGACAGATCGACCGGACTGTTACAGAGAAGATACCGATTGGATTAATACAACACAGAGTCAAACACGAACGGCAAAGCGCGTTTTGTCAGAGTCCCCTGTACGAAGTCGCAACTGATTGATAGTAAGTACAACGTTCGCATTGAACAGCAGTGCACGGAAGGTAAGGGATCCTTTTCAATAACGGTGGAATCTCTTCACAGAGCAAATGTCGCTTCACGGCTGTCTTTGAAAGAATCTGCAGGAAAACCGAGTGGTTATTCGACGCGCTTTCCTACAGCAGTTTCTCACACGGCTTGAAGTTCTCCGGGAATCTCCCTCACTTCCAAGTGGAAATGTCTTTCCACTCCGAGTTCACTCTCCTCCCCAACCATACGCTGCGTCCGCGAAACACGGTTCGCTACCAATAACAAAGTCACCCTCGAACCACTCGCTTACCTTCCAAAAATTCTCCTTTGCCGCTCTCCGCGCCTCCACCTCAGTCCTGCGTAGCCTCTCTTTCAAGAAGTACACCGCTGTACAGGTTAATCATGCTGGGACTATAAGGAGTACAGTCCAGCTTAGGTTATGTACATATAGCAGTACAGGCGAGACTTACTAAGTAGCGGGAATGAGTCATCCAGCGGCTATGATCTCCACAGAGGATGTACGGTTCGTGGGCGCTCGTATTGATATCACTGGAGTAAAGGCATGAAGCAAATCCACAGGACCTACAAGATACAACCATGGCCTGGCAACTCAGAAGCTAATGCACGAAAGGGTGGAAAGGTGTGGACGTTCCGACAGATTTTTTTTTTTTCCCAAACGGACTCGTCAATGATACCTGGCGACGAGACCACGAGCGGAACGGGGAAGAAGTGATGAGGTAGAGACTGATGACAATGGGTAGAGCCAACTGTACGCACAGAGTGTCTGTGTTGGTAGTGTACCGGCACAAGGTCGATGGTGGATGCTGAAGCGAGAGCGGTGTCGGCTTTTTCCCGATCTCGTTTTCTCTTCCACCGTATCGATACAATGTGCCCGCGTCAATGTTTCGCCCCTATACGGATCCTTTCAAGACTACCATGGTTACAGGAGAATACCTCAATGAATCTCTCGCAGTCATCAGAGTAGCGACCTGCGGATTGTCATTGCGAGTGGCAGAACAAGCCTGTCTGTGCGCCATGGAGTGATCTCAGGCTGTATGTTTTCATGGTCATTGTTCTGTGTGTCCGCAAGCCAATTTTCTCGACGTGTCGACCCTGTTCTTCAACGCTGGGATATTATGTGAAGACCTTCGACAAAATCTGTCAATATCATGGCTCGAAGCAGAGCCCAGACTCTGGATTGGTGCGGGTCCTGGAAGAGTCATGGTCATGGGCACCGTATGTTTTCTTCGCTGAGGGAATCAGTCTGTCAATTCACGCTATGTAGGACACAGGTATTCCGTCGCAGAGGAAAGTAGCTCCGCTTTTCTGAAATACATACCGTTCCGACTTTTGCACTGGAAGGCTATTGAGTGGAAGCTTGTGTGACGACGTGCACTATCTTGTTTTGCATCTTGAATAGACGTACGAATGTAGACCAGTCAACCATCTGTGTAGTGGAGAGATTATCCTGGAATCCACGCGTCAAGGGTACGCGTCACTCACGTGGTCATGCCAGAACATCAAATTAATTTCCTTTTTTCTTTTATTTCTGTCAGTGTCTCTTCTACCACACACCTGCATCTGCATGTCCTCTACATTTCCCATGGATATGATAAAATTGCTGTACTTGGCATATACGTCTTATTGGAGCGTACAGAGACGCACCTCTTGAGCATGAAGGACCAAATAGGGCTCTCGGACCTCAATATGGAACGTCACGTAAGCTGTATAGAAGCGCATCTGAAGAGAATAGAAAGGAACGGCGATAATTTACAGGGTAGTATCGAAAGACCTGGACTCGCGCTTTGATTCAAAGTTGAACACGGAGATGTTAACGGAGGGCATCAACGACACGATCAGGGAAAGATTTTTGACGAGCTGCGTATGTCGTCTCTTTGCGCGATAACTTCGATGCCCTCCATAGCAACGCAGACAGACACCTCGATTAATCAAATGCGAGATCAGCCCTCCTTCTCCAGGCAGGTACCAGTATACGCCGCCCCAGGAAATTCTTCTACCGAGGAACAACGTTTCTCCGCGACCACGAAGAAATGGTATAGCTCAGGTGGTTGAGATAAGGGCCTCGATGTTGGTATGGATGCAGCACTTTCTGGCGACGACCATGTCAAATAGTATCGAAAGATACGAGGCGGCAAAATGCCAAGACCGAGTCATGTAAGTACATTCTGGAAACGAAAGAATAGTCACGCCTCCGCCCACTGGTCAGGCGTCTTTGCCTGTTTGTTTTTCAGAGATCTTCGCCTCTGGTTGGAGGTGAGAAGTGTGGGAGACCGTCGTGCACCAGAGGCCTGCCTTGAATATGAGATTCGCGATCTGGGAGGAGGATATGGTACGCACGCTTTCCTTCGAATCATGTACTGAGGCCGTAAGACTCGTCACGTAATGCACTGGAATTTTCCCCCAACTTGATATAGAACCTAGCCCCCCAGTACGCGCGAGGAGGAAAGGAGTCCTCATTACACCGAAACAAAATTCGCCTCGATATCGAACAATAATCCTTCCGTTCTATTGAGGTGCCCCACCTTGCCTGTATTAGTCATGAGATTCGTCGACTGTTAGGGTGAAATGATGACGCACCCGTGCCTATTGAACGTGGGTTCTTGCCGCTGTTATGAGGCGGGAGGAATTCATTGCACTCACGTGTGACCAGCTGCGCTACGCTAACAGGACATCGAAGAGCGCAAACGGTGGTGGTGCAGTCCTTCGAGACAATATGCGGGCAGCCAGGATGGTATCTATATCATCTATGAGAATCGTTGCTCTCCGCATTGGGCAGAATATTCACCTTGCATCCGTTAGGCAAAAACCTCGATTGCTGAACTGCAGAGGGCAGCGTAGAGGGTCATCGACCCGGTGGGGGTGAGCGCGGGCCAAAAAGATGATAAGCTTCAACGAGTTCCTTCCAACATCAGGACAAAGCCATAGGATACGACATTGAACGAAGCCCGAGTGTGACAATAGTTGGTATCGTTGGCAATGTCTTTCGGGTAGTATCAGGAGTTCGTCGTGCCTGCGTCGTCCGTGAGATTCATCCTATAGAACTAAAGGTAACGCACCGGATATACATTCACAAGACATTTCGTTGCTCTGCGTAAATTAAAACCAAAGATTTCTGCGGACACCGTTTAGATACCTAACGGAAGAAAGAAAACAAATTGAACACGTACCTTGGTCCATTGCGGTGGACATGTAAAGCGAGGTTGATGCTGCGCCACAGAATTAGACTAGGTCCGTCATGGGGGTTCGTTTGACCAGCTAATAATTGGGGTTCGAAGACCAGTAAAAGGGAAGAGCATTAAGACCAACTCTTAGCAAAATCTTGAGAAGAGGACGGCTCTATCTATGTTAGTTATCCCGGTGGCAAGTCACAGTCAAAGACAAGTGAGGTAAATCGACCACAGGCAGAATTTATCATACTTGCACCAAGCAATGATTGACGTCAAACTAAAAGAGAGCGCTCAATCCGAGAACTTGATAGGAAAAAGAAAGACGTACCCGCTGTGGTTTACCAGCTGTCTGAAAACAAAACAAAGGCTCATGTCTTCAGGGCTCGTGATTTGTAATTTGTACAACGACCGTGAATCGAAAGTCAACCTGCCATATTCCAATATGTACATGGAGGATTCGGAGGCGCCAGTGTCTGAGATATGGGACTGGACGTACATTCTTGTGAGCCACGACCGCATACACGGAGGAGTAACTATTGATCGCCACATCGCAGCTCAGTGTCTTTGGGTTTGAAAACACTGTAGCTTTTAGGGAAAGGGCCATGGAGACTCCGCTAAATGAGCGGGATAAGATCCTGTTTGCTTGTGAAGGAGAGATTTTGGTGAGCACTCATTCACTGGTACAGAAACTAGGAAACTCATTGGTAGCAGGATAACCATTTGAAGGTCGTTGAAAAGTTATGGCCTGGAGGAACGAGATTGATACCGTAACGAGTGACACGCCACCTATCCATCCATTCGATGTGCACAGGCATACACTCTCGATCTCGAATGATAATCCATATGTTCCGGGCGAGGCTCCAGATGATGCGCCGATCCTCGACCCTAACGTCTGGGTGAGATGGTACCTGCTCCGTGGCAAGCAGCGCAACGATGATAGGAAGGCGTCGGAGGAACGAATGCCACTCTGGCGCACCATACACCATGACCCATACGACGAGCCCAACGACTGGGCGGACTTCATGCACGGCAAGAGGGACAAGAAGACCCAGCACCATCGCGCCAGTGGCGATGAGCTTACCCATACCACATACGACAATACGGCATCGGTCGGCCCATCGGGGTTGACAACGACGATGCCAAACCATTCCCGCCCTCTGCCTCAGCTTCATCACGAGCATCAGGCAGATCCACTCTCTCTGACATTGAAGGATCTCTCTCCACCTTGACGACTGGATATCGAAGCTGGCTCGGTCCTCCATGCTGAAACGGCGGTTCAGATATTGATGCATCCATCTATCTGCAGAGGAAGAATTGGGCAAAGCAGCATCCGAGAGTGAAGCAGAGGTAGTAGCTATGCTTTCTATTCAGTTTCTCACAACAATGATAATGGTGTCTCACCGACCTTGATAACTCTAGGATCATGAGCAAGATTCATTGCATCGGTACGCATCGGGTGCACACTCCACGAGCCATCCTTCCAATCGGTAGCAGGCGCACTGGGGTAAGAATTACTGAAGTCGTTCTTGACATGGTAAGGATTGGCAGTGACGAGTTGTACTGTCGTGGTGGAAGGAAGGGAAAAAGGTGAGACGGGAGGTCCGTATGGCGTCACAGTCACGGCCTTCCTTGCTCCCGACGTTCACGAATAATCCCATCCCGCTCAACATTACTGCCTTTGAGGCGCATTGTTCCTCCCCTCCAGACGACGGCGGCGTTGAAGAGCTAGAATGGTTCCTCGCTACATACTGGCTCGAAACCATTCTGGTTTCTGTGGATCCGTCTCCTTCTCCTGGGCCCTTCCATCTTGGTGTTGACGAGAATGCAAAGTGTGAATTTGTAAGCTGGACGACGATAATGTTACCGTTAACCCTTCCTCAAAAAACTCGGTACGTCGTGGTGTAACCACCATTACAATGCTCACTCAAGCTTTCTTCAGGTCTCAAGACCATTCTTTTGGTAGAAAGTGGATGGTTCCTTGCTGGATTAGCTCAGTATAGACTCGGCGGCGATGGTCCATCACAATGTCAGTTGCCGAAGGTATTCGTAATACCAACACGAAGGAACCAGGCTTGATACATATGGAGCCTAAGATCCAACGATACTTCTTCTAGGATTTCGTATCTTGCCGATCTCGATATATGCGCTCGTAACCCGCGTGCGACGTGCCAGATCCAAAGAGCGAAGGTCGAGCAATGAGGAATAGATCACCTGTGAGGCGACTTCCTGGTGCGTCATTCGTCCAGTCATTCTTTACAGCCGATCATGACATGCTTCTCCAGGTCTTCCAACGTTTGACAAAAGAATCCACGGCGGGCGACTGGGCCTCAATCACAGCGTCCAAGTGCCTCCATCATCCTCATCAACCGTACACGCGTGCTCTAATGGACCTGGGGCTATGATGAGCTCACCGTTGATGATGAGTGAGTTGATGTAGCGTCCTTGCAAACAGAACTAACATTTATCCAGGGATTCGCAGGTCGTACCGCTCCGTATATTTGCTTTCAAGCACAACGCATATGCACTATGTTTGTGCCCTGGATTCGGCCGAAGTTTTCCTCATTCCGGACTCTTGAACACTCGCGGGCCCAAACCCCCTCGCATAAATGGCCGGAGTAGGAAGTACCTCCAAGCTCTGCAGACTGACGCAGCCAACTTGGACTTTGGGCTCCTGCCTTTCGGACCACGGACTGGATGTGTGCTTGGTTTTCGTCGGGGACTTGACGATCAATACTCTTTCTCGCATCGTGTTCGCTTGGGCTTTCTGCAATCGGCATTCTGGACAAATCTTAGGTACCCTACCAGGTGGCTTTGAAAGAGTACGTCCCTGTATATCTTGCAACACTGCTACACGTGTGAAGAAAGTCGGAGACCTATTTGGATACGAAGACTTGCTTTCTATCATCTGGCTCGGGCAGCAAGCGCGAAGGCGTATCAATTTCTTTCTATAATTCATGTTCGGAGAGGCTGGGAAGAACCGTATGGGTGCGTTGTCTAACGTCTATTATCCTTTGTTGTTTTTTTTTTCCCTCATAACATTCTCCAGACGGATTCACGAGTCGTCCAGTTCAATGGCTTCGGACCACTTGTATTTCATCGCGTCCAAGTTCTCCTTGACGCTCCGCTATGGGCCATCATCCTCATGCGAATCCGCTGCCTGGCCGCAAAACTTTTGCATCTCATGCATGGAACGTGTCAGGACTTGGCGAAAGAAGCTAGGCGCATAAGTACCGGAGAGCAGAAGTGGATCTGTGTTTACACCCTCTTCTTCCGGCCACCTCAGGGCAGTCAGGATCGATGGCAAGTCTGCGAAGAGGCCTTCGAGGGAGAAACACAGAGGCTGCTTGGACACCAAGTTTTGATTCGGGACGACGGATCGTCGTCGATCGCCTTTTGTCGAGCGACGATGCTATGCCATCAATTTCCCAGGTTGCGATACGCTCATCCATGTCTGCCTTCCTTTGCCCTACGCCGAGGCTATGTATCCAAATACTCGTAGCCAATTCGCAGCAATGAGAAGTAAGTGACAGTAAAACATTTCCGGACACATAGCAGGTAAGTTACCTGACCCGTTGAAATTGTCTTTCAACTCACCGTTTGCATCCAGACTCTAAGACGACGCGAGCATTTGATGAATGACGTCTTTTGCGCATGGTGTCGGGCGAGCAGCATTCCAGGTCTCTCCTCAGCTCTACCACTGCACGGCTTTGACCCAATGAGAAGGTATGTCATGCTCCGCTACTCCTGTGCCAACTCTAATTCTGCTTAGCCATGCCCTTCTCTTCAATACGTAGTCACCGGACACCGGAGCCGACCATTGAGACCAGAAGCCAGCTACGTTCACCCCTGTTTCGTTTGTTGCATCTGCCGCCGTTTGAGGACGACTCGGGGTTGGTGTTTGGCATTTAGGGTTACAGCAGAGAATTTTTCATCCCGTTTCCGTGCGACGGAACACCCTCCTTTTTTAAAAAAACCTTTTGGCACTTGGAACGGCAAGCCTCATTTGACTGTGAGAGGGAGATCACCCTTGTGAATGCCCGTTCGTGTGCTAGAGCATGTTGTCCACTTGGATGGAAAATGCAGGCTGGACTTTTGGGTGACACTCTTAGAACCAATGTTTTGTTCTTTGACTTTTAGCTTTCACTCTGTGCGTGCTAATACTATAAAATTTCAATACGAAGATGTCTCGATGTGATTATACATTTGTACGAAGAACATTGTGAGGCTCCTACGGAGGAAGACTTATGTCATAAACAAATCTTTCTTAAATCCCTCCTCGTCGGTAACCAACACCTGGTCTTGCACTGTTTTGTAGTACACTGCTCAATTCTATGGACAAAAGTCTAGCCTAGGAATGGGCTTAGTGGATTCACCAGATCTCGCCAACCTTTATGGCTGGTACTTTGAACAGCAATTGGAAGTGACGGCCAATGTACCATTCTACAGGCGAGCTTGTTTATGTGTCTTCTAAGATGGAGGCATTAAGTATGATTTCACAAGTAAGCTTTGATGGCTGCACAATAAAGTGGGACACAGATGAATCCCGTCACGAATTCCTCCTAACAACGCAATCCAGCACATACCTTATCACAAGAGCCACTCCCATCAAGAGAGAATTCCTTGGATATCTTGCCATCCTCTAGATGTAAATAAAATTGAGACTTTGCACCGAAAATAAGTCTTATACAGTGTGTATATTCCATAGCGACCTGCTGAAGACATAGCTCATAGTACTACTCATTCTGGTAAAATATATATGAAATGAATAAACTCCCCTTCGATCTTGTCAAGAATTGGGATAGCTTCCATACCATCCCTCATCCCTGGGAGGCGTGGTGGAAGAAATATGTAGATCTGCGAATCAGACTCGAATAGGCAAGGCTGAAGATTGTATATAAAATCCGTATCGACCATCAGCTTGAGCATCTGAAGGGTCAGGTCTCTGCACCCGAATTTCATTAGACAATTCACAATGCGAACACAAATATCCTCCTTGAGAGATTTTTCTTCATCAGCAGTACTGGGAGAACGGGCCGTGGGATCAGTAGATATCGCCGCAATTTCCAGCTGTCTCAGAGAATGCCAATGTTGTACATTCTTCAGCAGTTTTGTCTGTAAATATTCCGTTTGTCAAGTCCCATGAAGGGGATGCAGTTGAACGGAAAACTCACAATGACGTTTTCGTTGTGTTTCACTTGAGCCCTCTGCATATCGATACTGATTGCAATGTGCTCAAGATTGGTGCAGAGTAATAGAGCTTTGAGCATGGGAATATCGAAACACCAGGATCCTGCATATTTGGGTTGAACCACGATACTTGTTAAACTCGACGAGTGTGCTGGAATGATGTGACGGAGAAATAAACGTGTATCGGTTTGGTCATTTCCGGGTGCACTCGGACACAGATGTAACATCTTCAATCCATGATAAGCTCCAAGATAATGCAGGAAAGAATTGGTCAGTGGTATATCGTGTGATCTCACGTAAGGAAGGTGCACATCTGCGTCAAGCAATGCGTTCCAGAACTCATCGGGAACAATAAAGCCAAGTGGCAAGCAGAATTCCGACAAGTTCCGCAAGTGTGGGATAAGGGCAGGAATAGTTGACGGCTCCAGACTGAAGTAATCGCCTTCAAGCACCGCTTCCTGCACAGAGCTATGTGTTCCCTCAGCGAATGCACTGAAGAGAGAGAGCACAGGAAAGTGTGGTGGAGAAGGAGAGTCACGGCGATCGGTAACAACACCGAGTGTGGATAGATTTGGACTGTTTGCGATGATGGCAGGAACATAATCCAAAGAACCATGTCCGCTAATCAACAGGCGGGTCAAACCATGGAATGGTGCGCAAGGAATGTCGTCGTCGATTCCATACGCTGATATCGAAACAAAATGGAGATGAGGACGATCGCTTAGTGAATGAATGATTTGATCCATTATTTCCGAGCCCATCTTTGCTTTTCCGAGCTCTATCCAACTGTATCGCTGAATTGATTTCCAGGGACTCGGGAGGAAATTGACTACTCACTGGAATTCTTGCAAACCTTGCATCTGCAGCACGGCTGCCAAAATAAGTCTCCCCACTCTCTGGGAAAATGTTTTTGCACCCCAAATACCGCTGAATTTAGGCTTGTAGGTGCCGCTGGATGTAAGGAAATACAGAGATCGGATGAATCTGGCCAATCGTCGACCCTGTGAAAGCTCTTTGAGGAAGCGGATTGTATGAGATTTATGTGTTTCAATCTTCGCGAAATCTATATAGAAATGTTCGAAAACAAAAGGCGTGGCAACGTCGCAGAGAGTTCTGCATGTCAGTCGGATTGCTTGACGACTGCTGGTACAAGGATCAGTCTACAAAGAAGAGTTAGGTGCAGTAAAAAGCTCAGGACTTTGGCTTACCGTAATAACAATCTTCTCTAGCAGTTCTGTGGGTAACGCTAGAAGGGACATGGTGGTACTAGGTCAACGTGACGAATGATTTAAGCGCTGTAGGAGCGCGCTTATTCTTATTACTTGGATAGGCAACAACTTCCCCTGGGGCATCCAGTGCCTCAGGGAGTGTCATTCCTTCATCTACACCACCAGTATCTGCTCAGGGGACCGTTATTACTGTCCTCGTCATCATCCTTGTGTTGCTGCCACCATGATATCGCTATCCACCCCTCTCGATGACTTTTTTGCACGACGATGACTTCTGGGGCTTCCAGCGCTCCAGCGACTATCTCCAACAGTACATAGCGACCAGTATGTATGGCAGGGGCTTAGGCTATAAGTAAGTATTTAAGTATTTACCAAAGCCTACACGATATAATACTCAGTCCAATCTGTCTTGATAGAAATCAACGGCGACGCACGACTTTAGCAGAGATGTACCTGCGTCATTTGTTCATCAGTTCCAAGACTGCTATCGCATCAGCCTCCCCCGCTCCCCTCTCTTGTATATTGCATGGTAGCCTGTCCATTATGCCACGTCCCCTTTATTCTGGCAACCGACTGGGCTATTAGAGGTGATTTCCTCCAACAATTTCTCATCATTGCAGGCAGAAAAAAAAGCAAGATAAGAGGAGGAGAAATATTGACAGAAGAATATATGTGAGTATCTCAGTCGGGCACAACGTGGGTGAAGCGACTGTATTGAGTCTACTGTACCTATTGACAGAAGAATATATGTGAGTATCTACGAACGAGTGTAAGTATCATAGTCATAAGCACAGTAGGGATATACATACCTCAGTCGGGCACAACGTGGGTGAAGTGACTGAGGCATACAGATAGGAATGGCTGGACTATATAGGTGATCGGGAAACGACAGGAGGTGTAAGTATATATAAGGCAAATAGAGCGAGTGATCAAAAGTAAGATAAGATGAAACGTACGGATATCCTCCAACAAGAAAGCCACAAAAGAAGGCCTACACATTTGTCGGCGATCGATAAAGTGGAAGGGAAGGGAGGACCCATTTGGATCCATAATTACATGCCAACCGAGCCACGTGCCAGCCACGTAGAGCTGCTGCTTGAATCAACGTTCCTTTTTTCCTTCTGTCACCACCACCATCTTCTGTCACCAATAGGCCACCTTGAATTTGCGTAGTCCAGATAACAACATGCACCTGGCCTTTTTGTGTCTTCAACCAATCTTCGATCGCTATAGTGACAGGTAAATTCGTGGGCTACGGTGTATCATTTGAAATGACAGATGCAGGCTCATCGGAGTCTTCTAGGTCCCTGCCTCGTTCCGAGTCTGCATCCCTGGGACGCGTTCTTTGTTATGAACATCGACTTCAAAGTACCGTTATGCTAGAACTGACATGCATTACAATGACGCCATGAAAAAGTTGACAGGAGTCAACATATGCTCGGTAGTTTCGAGCGCTGTGGAGATGGATGCCTATTTCGGTTTCGGTAAGAGTTATCCTTCTCGTCCTTACGGAATCTGACTGTTATACAGAGAGCTGTCGGAGAATGGCATACTGCGTGGTATCAAGCCCAGCCCAGCCTGTCGGCTCCCCGTTGAAGCAGTAATTGAATCATCCACTCATCCTTCAGTGTGATCAACATGAACGATACACTGACGGCTTGTATGAAGAGGCCGGCTGTGCGAGAGCGAGGAGCCGAGAAGGTGTGGGTAAAGGTCAAAAGAGAACCTTCGGGGATGGTTCAACTATCTTATGTGCTCTTAATGGTGCATGCATGCAGGACTTCATGTTGGAAAGAAAAGGCTATGTGCGTAAACATGTTTTAGACCATGAATCTCGCTCTCAAAGCTGGCTTCTAGAATGTAGTATGGTTCCAAAAGTACATTTCTCATCAGGCGATCCTCTTCTGCCTCGATGCCACCGGCCAGAGGAGATGGATAGGGAATCGCCAAGGAAAAGGATTACGCGCCCCCCCCCAGTTATATCAACCCTTGGCACGTTAGGCTTGCGGTGAAGCTTTTATAACCTACAACGCCAGCAACCTCATTGGGGTAGTCACCCTGATTTCGCTTCTTCGAAGTCTTCCACAATTCTAGGCAGTCAAGGATTTGATCGACCCTGTTCTAAGGGCCAGCATACCATTGTCTCCGTCGTCTCGCTGAAACAACCCCCGCGTTTCCCTTCTATGTACTGCGTGGATTCAATTGGACAGATTTCAGGCACTCCTATGGGTCCTTCAACCAAACCAATCTTGCTGCGTTTGATGATTGGCGATGTGCTTCCTAAAGCCCTTGCATTATTCATGGTGATCGTTTCGTGTTTGTTCAATGAAACGTGTAATTGAACCGTGATTGTGCACAGGACGAGATCAAACTACCCACCTGCCACGTTGTGGCTCTGTCGAAGGGCAGTATCGTGGCGATAGGCCTCGCTGTCTACCACCCAAACAAATTTGCATCACTTTTCCTTGCGTGGCCGCTAGGGTTAGAGGAGGTGTGTTTTTTGAAGTATATTTGCCGTGGCTGAGACTGACAACCCACATAGGCAGCAGATGTAGCTGATGGCCAGCGCGAAATAGTACATAACTGGAAGGACGGTCTCAAGACAGGCCAACCTGACATGGAGGTCCTATCTGACGCGGCCTACGGCACCTTGCAACTGGGTTTCAGTAATAAACTCGATAGCTTAATAAGCGCGTGTGTATAGTGCTCCCTGTTCCGCTTCTTTTAGGCTCGCTGTTATGACAATGCCTTGGGCTCTACAAAAGGGTGCACAAGAGAACTTTGACCAACTCGAGAGAGCCACGGTCAACTTTCTGAACGATCGAAAGGAGTACAGTAATGACGAGCTTTCTCGGATTCGTGTTCCCGTTGGTTCATTGCTTAGGGGATATCGCATACCCTCAAGAACACACGAAAAGGTTCATGTGGCAGCTGAAGGATGCTGCAGTGACAGTCAGCTTGGCCATGATACCGGAGGCTCCACACTTCGGCGTTGTAACACACGGTGATATGTAGGTACAGATTATTGATAATGTACAGCAGGATTGTACGTGCATGTATCATTGGTTTGTAACTGGAAGATTTGCGGCAACGTCGCCGTGATCATTGCACCAGACTCCCTGGTTACGCTAGGACTGGATTTAATCATTCATCTGCCGAGGTAGGCGAATGCTTGGAGATGCTAACGTTCTTGTTGACAGATCTCCGATACAAGCGACCACCTGCCTCGAGCAAACTGTAACGTTCACCGTCAATGTCATCAAATTCCGCATCCCATTGAATAATTTTCTGGAGGAAAGACCTTTGGTGTGCCTTTCCGAGTTTACCGTTGCAGTCGATTCAACGTCTCCAAGCTTGACACAGCCAGCTTGAACGTTATTCCTCCCTTTTTACCAGACCACCGATCGGCTGTGTAACTTACTCCCAGTCATACCCTCATGACTATGTCAGGGTTCCTTCCCAAGAACAACCCTTCACATTATATCATACTCAATAATAGAGATACGACGGAGAAACTTGCGGCAGGAGAACGCCATCATGTTTTTTACCTTTATGGGGCCCGGGCATTTTGCGTGCAATCGGCCTCCGTCGATCAGGCTCACGTCAGAAGGCTTAACAAAAAGAAGTACCGGAGAGAAGCTATCCGACGTAGGGTGACCTGTTCTCTGATATTTGCTAGAGAGTGCAGGTGGCCGTCCTTTATGTCGTCGGGTTCTTTCGCACAGTGGTAATCCCGATTCATGGCCTCGGTTCTTTAAGGTCTCATCGCTACATGCGTGCATTATTTTTGGCAGAATTATCTATCGTTGCGCTTTTATCCCCATTAGAATAGGTGGCCAATTGTCGTTTGTCGGGTCCTTGGGCACAAGTTGTTATCCTAGTTCATGGGTTCCAGTTCGATTCCCAGAGGGTCTACAGCAAATGATGTGCATTCTTTTGGCCGGAATGGTAAGCGGACATTGCGCCTTCTTGTGCTTGTAGCTAATGAATACCTTTCAGAATGTATAGCTGTACACCTCGAAACGACCAGGGATCTTATGCATCCGACGGGCCCCAGCACGCTATTGCCCCAGTGTAAGCATAACTATACGAGGGTCCCTTGGCTCAATTGGAATACGAATCCATGATCTCGGTTCGAATCCGAGGGGTGGTCCATTGTGATCTCGCACATAGTCTGTTTGGTCTACACCTCTTTTATCATAAAACGGTGGCTCTCAGATGCATCTTCTCCTTCAAGAGTAGCAAATGGACAAGGGGCCTTTGGCACAATGGATAATGATCCTCTGCCACATACTTGGTTTGAATCCGAGGAGGCTCATTGGAGGTCCGCATTAAAGTTTTTGCCTCTGAAGCCTCGACAAGGAGAGAAGAACTCTAGGGTTCCTTATGTTCGCTATTTCGCCATTTGAAGACTATCTTCTTCCCGGTTCAGCCGCCGTTCGAGTATAAATAAATTCACACCGCATTCGATACTATCGAGTGTCAATTTCGATGCTTTTTTTCTTCTAGCAGCCGCAATCTTTTCCCGTTTTAGCTTCAATTTTTTTCTATGGTACCTATTAGTGTCCGTTACATTCACATCTACTCATCTGATATGTCGTGCTCCCCAAAATAATCAAGAGTTTTGCAAAGGTGCACCGATCAGACTTGATGTCGACACTTCCTTGCTAAAATTGACTACTTGCATGCTCGGAACCATTCTGCACCAGCTCACGCTCTTCTGAAAAATCTGAAACTTGGCATAATTCAGGTATGAATATATGACATTCAAATCATCTTCTACCTAATTTCCGGGGTAGAATCTTAAATTTGAGGAGACGAGCCACATCAGGCTTTTGGATTGACACTTTCTGGTTTGGGGGGATCTGATCGGTCATTGATAGTAAAGATCCTTTGGCCCAATCGCGACCATCGTATTTCGATCTCCGGGTTCGAATCCAGGAGAGGCCACAAGTTTACAGCTAGGTTTAGTTTTGTGAGGAGACTCGACATCCCCACTATATTTACGAGTGTTGTAGGGACTTTGGTGTAACCGTAATCTATCGGAGATCTTGGTTCGAATCTGAGATCGTCTCTCTGCTCAGGATCTGGTTCATTTTTTTGTCGGTGATCATCAAATAAAGAAAGAGGGCACAAGCGGAACACTACATAGGTAGAGGCATTTCTCGACATTCGTATCTCGTACTTTTCGGGTGTACCAGTGAAGATAGAGTGATTATTGAGACAGTATATCCTTCCAGGTATGAGAGAGGGGTGCAATAACATTGACGACTTCTGTAAGCGAGGGCGTATCCCTCCGTCATGAGCTCCTCTTTACCCGCCAAGGTTGTGCCTAAACAAATGCAATATCCCCCAGCTACATGTTCAGAGTGTGAGATAGAGGGTTTCAGAGACATCGAGTGACGGACTGCGGGTGGGCAAGAGGTCGACTTTATCTCCTTCGGGACGAATGACGACGGAAACCGAAGCATTCTTGCTATGCCCATCAGTCAGTTAAGGCGAGATGCACAGAGTGTGTATCTTCACTCAAGTTACCGACGCAACTGTTCTCCATCGCAGAAGAGCTCGCGTGCGTCCATGCATCAGCCCAGTATAGATAACAACCTTGGTCCTTCCATCGAGTCGCCATGCCAACACCACCACTCACATCCTGCCAGTGGGAACCCAATATGCTCATCGCCCGTAGGAAAGATACAACGTGGTGTGGTATAAAAGACGCTCGTGAGATGGGCAGCCACTGAAGTGACCCCCATTATTGAGATCGATGACAGTGACGGATGGAACGATAATATTGATGCCAGTGTCCGGGATCGTCGTCAAAGGGCGTACCATTGGAGAGTCCTTGTATCATACGTGTTATCGCATATCCCGTAGATTCAGTATATGACGTACCTAGAGGATACCAGCCGTGCCTGGTGTTTTTACGCCCTCAAGCTCGAGCTCAAGGCCACACGCATGAGAACGTAACGGCTGGATTAGTTGTGGCGAAACTCACCCAGTCAGTCGTCCGTATCCACTCTCCACGTCTATCCAGCAGCCTAAAGAAGCGGTTGGTTACCGGTTACGAGGCATCAATAGAACACTATCGAGAGACGTTTTCCTGAGGTGCTCATCGACCGTTCTGGCTGATGACAGATTCAGGACGGACTTGAGTAGATTCTGACTCCATAACCGGTTGGCGAGGAAGTTGGCGTCCAAAATGCTCATAAAAGATTGAGGAGAGAGCAAACAGGATTCCGGTCCGAAGTGTATCGTGACCACGTAGATACCATTTCGCCTCGATCCAGAAAATACAGACGGTAAACTTGGACGCATTGGGTGACCAGGCGTCGAAAGTTTCTCCTTGACAAGGGCAGCAAGCGGGACAAATGAAATTTTGGGACATTTGTATAGCGTCAACCAAGTAAAGCTAGGAGAAACACTAGACCAAGGCCAGACAAATATAGCATTTCTCAGCTTCCTCCGCCAAATGTTCTGGGAAGGAGCCTCCAAGCACTGCAGACTGACGTAGCCAACTCGGACGTTGATCTCCTACCAGGGACCGGCTGTGCGCTTGGTTTTCAATGCGAACTTGTACTCTCTCTCTGGATCTCACCTTCGCTTAGCCTTCAATTGAGCCTCTGAATTCATCTTGGGTACGTATTACACGTTGGCGGACTACTCTTCTGTGTTATTGGGGTGAACACATGAAACAAATCCATAGAACCAAAAGTGAACTTACGAGACGCATTATGTAGCAGATAGGTTGATTATTCTTGGCTAGGTAGACTCGGGAGCAAACACGTGAAAGGGTTGAGTACGGCTGACTTTGTAGGTAGAGCGTCGATCGTGTTTGTGTTCGTGTTTGTACCGGTCGATGGTGGAAGTTGAAGCGAGAAGTAGCGATTCCGGCTGTTGCTGGCGGCTGTGACATAGAAATCGACGGCTTATTGGTCACAATGCCCATCGAATTGTATGGTTTTTTCATAGCCGAGTCGATCGTTGTAGATGCTGGCAGGAGATATTATTATCCGAACGAGGACTATGCAGCCATAAGATTGAGAGACAGAAAGAGAAAAGAAGAAAATGAACGTACATATCTGCAGGTCCCTCCAACTAGCGTGTTACACTGCCCGATAGATATCCACCGCTGCTACACCTGAGAGTAGAGCAAAGCACAGCTCCTGTGAAATCATTCAAGGCGATTTTCGAGTACTTTTCGGTAGCGAGCGGTGGGAGTGATAACAAAAGACGCGCATAGGTCTTCTGGAGCGGGTTTCGCGCCCGCTCTTCAACCAAACGGTCGAAACCTCCATAGAGAAATGCCTCCAACCATTCATCAAGGGTGAAGGCATCACTCAGGTGAAGTCTGCATGATGGTCTTCGTTCTTTAAAAAGGCTTCGATATTGGGATGTATGTAGCACTTTCTTGCGACGATCACTGGCATGTCGGATAGTATCGAGGGGATCCGAGGCAGCAGAAGGTCAAAGTCCCAAGACCAAGTGGTGTAGTAGATTGTAGAAACGGAAGAATGGCCACGCCTCTACTAACCGCTAAGGCATCTTTTCCTCTTCGTTTTTCAAAGGTCTTCATCCCCTTTGATTGGCGGAGAGACGTCTTTGAGATCGTCGCACCCTAGAGGCCAGTCTTGAATGAGATTCGCGGTCTGCGAAGATATAAAACAGTTACGTACCGGCCCCTTTTCCTTCCAACACGCATGTCCCGCATGGACGACGCCATAAGGATCGTCGCGCTACGACATCGAGCAAAACCCAAGCATGGCAATGGGTGATATCGTTGGCAATGTAGAGCCATGAATTCGTCTTTCTTGCATCGTCCATAAGATTCATCCTGCAGAGCCAAAGGTAACGCACCGAGTATGCCTTCGCGAGAGATTTGTTTGCTCCGTGCAAATGAAAGCCAGAAACCCTGCATATACCCTTTAGATACATATCGGAAGAACGGAAACAAATTAAACGTGTACCTTGGTCCATTGCGGCCGACGTGTAAAGCGAGGTTGATGCTGCGCCACAGGATAAGACACTAGGTCGGTAGCGGAGTTTCGCTTGACCAGCTAATAATTAGGGTTCGCGTCCCAGTATGAGAAGACCACGAAGACCGACACTTGGCGAAATATCAAGAAGGAGGACGATCCTATCTGTATTAGATATCCCGGTGGTAAGTCACAGCCAAGGACAAGTGAGGTAAATCGACCACAAGCAGAATTTATCATACTTGCACCAAGCAATGATTGATGTCAAACTAAAAGAGGGCGCTCAATCCGAGAACTCGATGGGAAAAAGAAAGACGTACCCGCTGTGGTTTGCTAGCTGTCTGAAAACAAAACAAGGGCTCATGTCTTCAGGGCTCGTGATTTGTAATCTGTACAACGACCGCGAATCGAAAGTCAACCTGCCAGATTCCAATATGAACTCATCTCGCAACATGGAGGACTCAGAGGTGCCAGTGTCTGAGATTAGGAACTGGACGTACGTTCTTGTGAGCCACGATCGCAAATATGGAGGAGTTTCTACTAATCGCCACATCGCAGATCAGCGTCTTCGGAATGGAAAACACTGTAGCCTTTAGGAATATGGCCATGGGGACTCCGCTAAATGAGCCGGCTAAGATGCTGTTAGCTTGTGAAGGAGAGATTTTGGTGAGCACTCATTCACTGGTACAGAAACTTGGGAACTCATGGGTAGCAGGGAAACCATCTGAGGGTCGTCGAACAGGTGACGGCCTGGAGGAACGAGATTGATATCCTAACGAGCGACACGCCACCTATCCATCCATTCGATGTGCACCGGCGTACACTCTCGATCTCGAATGATGATCCATATATTCCAGGAGAGGCTCCAGACGACGCGCCGACCCTTGACCCTCCTTGGCAAGCCCCGCTATGATGATAGGAAGGCGTCGGAGGAACGAACGCCACTCTGGCGCACCATACACCACGACCCATACAACGAGCCCAATGACTGGGCGGATTTCATGCGTGGCAAGAGGGATGAGAGGAGCCAGAACCATAGCGCCGGTCGCGATGAACACACGAACATTGTATACGACAATACAGCATCCGTCGGCCCATCGGGGTTGACGACGATGATACCAAACCGTTCCCACCCTCCGCCTCAGCTTCATCACCAGCACCAGCTAGAACCAACCTCTCTGACATCAGAGGATAACTCTCCACCATGATCACTAGATACCTGAGCTGGCTCAGTCCTCCTTGCTGAAATGGTTGTTCAGGAGATAATCTTGGTCTAACAACAGGAAGAATTGCAAGCAACATCCAACAGTGAAGCCGAGGTTGTAGCTATCCTTTCTATTCAGTTTCTTGCAATAATGATGATGGTATCGCACCGACCGTTGATAATTCCCTAGGACCATGAGCAAGATTCATTACATCGGTACGTATCGGGTGCACACTCCACGAACCATCCTTCCAATCGGTAGCAGGCGCACTGGGGTAAGAATTACTGAGGTCGTTCTTGACATAGTAAGGAGTGGCAGTGACGAGCTCTGCTGTCGTGGTGGGAAGAAGGGAAGATGATGAGACGACTCGGGAGGTCCGTATGGCGTCACATAGTCACGGCCTTCCTTGCTCCCGACGTTCACGAATAATCCCATCCCGCTCAACATTACTACCTTTGAGGCTCATTGTTCCTCCCCTCCAGACGACGGCGGCGTTGAAGAGCTAGAATGGTTCCTCGCCACATACTGGCTCGAAACCATTCTGGTTTCCGTGGATCCGTCTCCTTCTCCTGGGCCCTTCCATCTTGGCGTTGACGAGAATGCAAAGCGTCAATTTGTTGGCTGGATGACGATAATGGTACCATTAATCATGAAAAAAAAAAGATCCGTGCGTCGTTGTGCAATCTCCATTTCCATCCTCTCTTAAGCTTTCTTCAGGCTTCGAGACAATGCTTTTAGCAGAGAGCTGTAAAGTCCACTATATAGACTCAGCGATGACGGCCCAATGCAATGACAGTTGCCGAAGGTACTTGTGAAGGCCTGGTCATGCGAAGGAACCATAAAAGCCAATGACACTTCCCCTAGGATTTCGGTGTGCGTTCCTAACCCCTGTGCTGGACCCAAAGAGCGGAGATCGAGCAAGACCATCTGTAACGTGATTTCTCGGTGCGTCATTTGTCCAGTCATTCTTTACAGCCTGTCATGACACGTTTCTCTAGGTCTTCCGACGCTGGACAAAACAGAATCCACGGTGGGCGAATATGTCAGTTACAGCGTCCAAATGCTTCCGTCATCCTTATCAACCATACACACGTGCTCTGATGGACTTGGGGCTCTGAAGAGCTCACCGTCGATGACGCGTGAGTTGATGTAGCATCCTTGCAAACAGAACCAACATTCATCCAGGAATTCGCAGGTCGTGCCGCTCCGTATGTGCTTTCAAGTACAACGTTGCGTATGTACCCCGGGTTTGCCCTCGGACGAACGAGAGTCGAAGTTTTCCTCATTCTGGACTCTTGAGCACTCGCGAGCCCCAACTCCCTCGCATAAATAGCCGGAGTAGGAAGTACCTCCAAGCTCTGCAGACTGACGCAGCCAACTTGGACTTTGGGCTCCTGCCTTTCGGACCACGGACTGGATGTGTGCTTGGTTTTCGTCGGGGACTTGGGGATCAATACTCTTTCTCGCATCGTGTTCGCTTGGGCTTTCTGCAATCGGAATTCCGGACAAATCTTAGGTACCCTACCAGGTGGCTTTGAAAGAGTACGCCCTTGTATATCTTGCAAAACTGCTACACGTGCGAAGGAAGTTAAAGACTTATTTGGATACGAAGACTTGCTTTCCATCATCTGGCTCGGGCAGCAAGCGCGAAGGCGTATCAAGTTCTTTCTCTAATTCGCGTTCGGAGAGGCTGGGAGGAATTGTATGGGTTGCGTCATCTAATGTCTATTATTCCTTGTTTTTTTTTCTTCTCATAATATTCTCCAGATACATTCATGAGACGTCCAGTTCAATGGCTTCGAGCCACTGGAACTTACTGTCTTCCCGCTGTTGAGAAAACTGAACTAGCTTTGGTTCATTTGTCGGACCAATGGACGCTGCCCCCATGAGAATCGCTGGTCGTTATCAGAGTGGTCACGTATGACTCTCTAGGTGCGTACTATCTTTCTCCTAGCGCGCGGTCCAATCCTCACGTCTGGATAAGGAGCTGATCACAAACTAGCACGCATTCTTAGTCATCAGTAACTCCAGCGACGACTGATGACAACGAGTGAAAAGAGATAGCGAGATGTGGGATGGTAAATACTGAGATTCTTCTGATGTAGGAAAAGAAAGCACTGCTGATCTCGGATGGACCTTGCCTGTTCGAGAACTAAGATGTGCTTCAATCAGCAAGGACCATTTGGTATAATCGTAATCTGAGTGCCTGATCCTTGGTTCGATTCTGAGGGGTGCCTATAAGGGCTCGTTGAATACTTCCACAATACCTTTTGATGCCTCACTAAAATACAGCTATTCTCAGGTGGCCCTTTCCCTTTGCCATTCATAGACACTGGCCATAGAGTCGAGTTCCCATTGTCTACTCCTTACACTCACTGTTAGTATGGGCCCTTTGGTGCAATTGTAATATCACGATCCTCAGTTCGATTCTGTGGTGGGCCATATACTAAATCCAAATATCTCCGATTTTTTGAAATCCAGATTGCTTGTTACGCTTCAAAAAGGACAGTGACCAGGGCATATTCTCTGAGCCTGCTGAGTTCCTTTTGTCTGGAATACCAGGATTCAGATAGTTGGCTTGAAATGGGATGATTGCAGTCTTTTCAGCACCAGACAATGGCTCTTTGGGACAAATTGTAATGATCCTTGGTTCAAATCCAAGAAGGCACATAAGTTGGGAAAACTTGATCTTGCTTCTTTTGCCTCAAAGTCTGAGTTGATTTTTATTCTTTGAACAAAGGGTAAAGTCACTGGGCAGTGGCCATGAAGAAGCAATGACTATCTTCCAGGAAGATGTCAGGTGATGACCAAACAATAACAATTCCTAAGACTGCCACCAGGGTCTGACTCTAACTGAAGAAAAGAGAAAGGTTTGGGAGATAAGCAAAGAGATATAAAGGGAGGGGGTGTCTTGAGATAAGCATCACAGTGGGAGCCAAAGAGTTTAGTCAGTTGTATTAAACCTTAGCTCAAGACTAGGGTTACAGGGTGTAAACTACTTGCTTAAATGCTGTATGGAAAAGTCTTAGCCCTACAGACACATATGGTTCAGTTCTGTCATGTCTGAAGCATGTCCCAATAGCAATAATACCTTGATGCAGCAGGCACACCATTACCTGTCCAGTATGTGGTCATTGCAGTGATTATTCCTTGTGCTGCTGCTAGTCTGGTGATGACTGTGATGATGTACAGTTTCTTCCATGCATTAATGGCCATTGTCATATGCCAATGAGTAAGGCACAGCACAGTGCAGTCTCCTGGTGGACTCAGTGAGGTTTCTGCATGGCCAAAAGCACTATGTGTTAGGATTTGTAAGCATTACCCCATTCCTAGCCTTTCTTTCACTATGGCTGTAATATTCAGTTGCAGGTGAAGGTAAGAAGTCAGTCTCACATGCAAGTGGCCTTGGGCATGAGTAAAAGAGATGGGAGAAGAATGAACAAGGGATACTGTACCATTTATATCAAGCATTCAGGACTTTTTTTGTTTAAAACTTTGATGATAATACTCAGAGAACTCAGAGAACACTGCAGACTCAGCTTGCCATTTAAGAGGAAACAGTATACACTGTAATACACACACAAGGATCCAGTTCAAGAGGAGCATCTTCATTATGAATTGCACGATGTACGCAGCTTTTTGTGGGAGCGCTCAGCACGTACAGCCGGTTCAAATGGGTGTTGTCGACAACGAAGGCAGTAGGTCTATTTTTAATAGTTGTCGAGTTGATCAGAGTCACTGATTGCGACGGCTGCACTTGCTTTTTTTTTTTTTACATCCACCACCAGCCGCCACCATCATCCTCGCTGTGTTAATTCCTACGCCGCACAGTCTGGTAACAAGTTTCGGATGATATGGGAAGAACGAGTCGCATATAGGAAGCTTTTATTTGCCGTGGCTCATCGAGGTACGCGATTATTTGTTTTTCCCACGTTTCTATGATTTACGGTGTCTCTAGTGTGCCGTAAAAATACACATACAGCCTAGTTTTGCGTGTCATGTCGCGTCAGGAAGTGATGGCAACTGTGTCAAGTAATTGGCCGCCCTTACTCGCTAGGATTGATTACTCCCTGTTGAAGATGTTACAGTCCGTTATCCTCTAAACCACGCTGTGTCCGAGTCGCTCTGAGTACGTTGCTATTATCTAGAAGGCTTCTTATTTTCTGCCGAAAAGGTAAGTCGTGTTTATCTTCCTTAATTCTGGCTCAGCTCAATAAATTCTCGCACAGCATTAGCGAACAGCACCGTGTAGAAGAAGACGAAATAATCAAATCTTGGCGCGTTGCTGTCAGTAGGCGCCTGTATCCGTGGGATTTAATTTGAAAGCCCGTCTTTCTGGTGATACTAATCGGTTGCATCCACCGCTCTGCCAACATCTGCCAATCGCAAAGATCATGATAAACTTTCTGGAGTTCTGCTGTATTGATGTGTGAAGGATATTCGGATTTTCCACGCTGAAATGGATAGACCAGTCCGAGGGGCATGATTGATCCTGTGAGTTGTTGCTGCAAAATCGCTCTAGCAGGTGACCGCCACTGATTGTTATCGACGATTACTGCTGACCGGACCTTGTGAACAGCTGTCCATCCAATGAACAAAAAGTGATCCTTACTTTCCGAAGTGTTACATGGCGGGAGTTACGTGTATCCGGAAAAGGATCTCCTCATACCTGGTTAATGGTATGGTATCTCTCCTCACATTCCCTACGGACGGTGCAAAGATACTGTCTGCGATGCTCCAGGACGCAGAAATTTCCAGCACGAGTGTGGATGGATGTGTCTGTAGTGACGGAATGTGCGTGTTCTTTCCCTGTATCCATTCTTTCACACTGAAAATTCTCAACAGCAACTGCTATGATGATAAAGTCATCCCTATTTTAAGCATTTGATGCGGGCCGTTCATTGGCCTCGGCACTTGCCGATTGACTTGGCCCCTTTTCCTTTCACCACCATATAGGCGATGGTAAAAGCGTTTCATTGCCTTCCTCAATGTCCCTCGAGCAACAACCCAAGTCCCTACGTCGACGGAGCCTCAATATACTACTTCAAGTCCCTATTCTCTCTCGTTCCCACGCCCCATTAACGATATCAGCACCTCAAGCCATCGGCACGCTTCCAGCAGACATCATCCTCGAAATTGCAAACCTGCTATGGAGGGATGATCTGCTCAATCTGAGCTTGACTGTACGTGTGTTTTTTACGATGTTCGTCCTCGCCACTAACTTGACGACGACCGTAGTCATCTTATCTGCGCGCGCTTCTCATGCCGGCGCTCTATGACACTGTCGTTCTCACCTCGAGCAGGACGTGTCGCAAGACACTCAGGATGCTCCAACGGCGCCCTGAGGTTTGTCGCTATATCCACAAACTTGCGGTGCGGCCGAATTACTACCTTGCGTGGCCAAGGCCAGATGAACGGATAGATGAAGATTGGGTTGCGAGTGCAGTGGAGAGCATTGCGCAATCCCTGGTGATCATGCATACGTTTGACTGGGACGGGCTGGAAATGCCGAAGGATTCTCTCTGGCGGACGCTGCGGCTTTCGTGAGTCTGAGTGACGTTTTCCGTGACATTTCCTTATGTCTTTTTCTCCCTTAGGTGTCCGCAGTTACGAACGGTATACAGCAATGTCGGGCATCTACCCTTAGACCCAGAAAGCGAACTCTTCTCTTTCAGGAATTTAAAGAGCTTTTCGTTGACGGTTAGGCACGGTCTAGGTGGATCCGAGCTGTTCCCATCAATGGAAGCGCTCCCAGAGAGGATGTGGAATATGCTGTTGAATAACACTCCCGACCTCGAGGAGCTCTCACTCTGTAGCTTTTCGACTTCCGCGCGGCTATTTGATGTCTCTCCCGTTACGACGGGTACCTGGCCGAAACTTGCGACCCTCACACTCGGTTCGTTCGGGTACCAAGATGACTTTACCCTCAGTCCACCAAACGACGTTGCATTTGGGAATTTCCTTTCCAGCCACTCTACGTTGAACTACGTCCGGTTTGCATGGAACTTTAAACAGTGGCTCTCCCCGGATAACGTACCGACATACCTTGGCTCTGATGCTCTGCCAAAGTTATCGACGTACGTCGGGATCTACCAACAGCTAGCGGAGCTTCCTCATCCGGAGAGCATTACGTCCCTCGATCTTACGTGCGAACCGCTTTACGACTCGCGGATGCCCATGATCTGCCCTATCCTCCGGACGCTCACGTCTCTCACCTCCCTTGACATCTGGATGCACATCCCCGATGACGCGCCCTTATCCGACTGCGAATTCGTCCGGCCCATCCTGCTCTCTTGCCGCAAGCTGGTAGAGTTTCATTTCATGTGTACGACGGCGTTCCGGGTGAGACATCTCTCCGCGATGCTGGGGCTGCTTCCTGAGTTAAAGACGTTCTCGGTGACAAAGGGACACCGGTATGGGGAGAGGGAGAAGATGAGGGATACGGCTGTGGGCGTGGTGAGGCATATTCCTGGGTTGAGCCAGGTTAACGTGAGATGGGCTAGGGAGAGGTGTAGGAATCATTTAAAGCAGGAGGGGACTTATGATGTCATTAAGGGAACAGATGGAGGAGGACAGGTAGAACGATTGGGAGTGTACGAGCGAGGTGTTACGGTATGGGGTGTGGCGTTTAAGAGGAGGTACATGTATGAGGTGAAGGAGCCGAGGTATGTGGGGCGATCTGTGGTGCAGGTGGTGAGTCGAAAGTAACGGATTTTTGGTCTGTGTTATCTATCTTATCTACTCGTGTCCAAATTTTGGTTTTTGTTCATGCTATTCATGTTGTTGTATATATATATGTACTATGGAAAATCTATCAACAGACATTTATGGTTACAATTCTAGACTGCTATGTAGCTGGCAACAGAGATATTCGGGTCTGGTTCGCTCATCAGTTTCATTTCGTTGTTGAAAACGTGTGGTACAACTCCAGCTGGTAACCAGTGTTAATAATATACGTTCTAATTACAGCTTACACCTCTGAGCGCTATCGCGCAGTATATTAAAAATGACATCCCCAACCTTGTCTGGGGCTTCCTGTACAACCTAGGAGACGGGATTGTTATCAATGTTCCTCTTCCCCTGGTGGCAGGCTCGGGACGGACATACCAAATGACCTGCTCCTGGGATACGCGTAATCGAAGCGAATTTTCGGCCTTGCTGAAGGGAGTCTTGCTTTTCGCGAGTGCTGGGATTACCATTGTCATCGGGAGGAAGAGAAAAGATATAAAAAAAATGTTATATGGACCGTACAAAAGATCGTTCCGTTCGCCGTACACGAGATGGATAGGTATAATCTTGTGTGTCTTGTCCAGCTCTGTTAGGGGCACGACGGAGTCTCCTGTGATGAAAGGCATCGCTTCGTGTCTGGGGGTGCAAGCGAGAGATACACCACCCTTCTTCGTAGGGTGAGGCACAATTCCGTGCTCCTAAAGGGCTGTATGTATGTACAACCAGCGCTTCAAACAACCGACATGTCATGGGTTCACTCACGATGTAGATATCCAGAATCCGATGATCCCAGAGGGCCCACGGGGCACGTTTCTTCAGGTATGCTCTCGCTTCGGCTTTTGAGGACCAGGAATCGCGGCGCCTGGGAATCGTCTTGGACGCCAAGATGAACGTGGGGGAGTGTGTGTTCGTTATGTGGGCAGGCCATACTGTTGGTTCGACGAGGATCATGGCGTGGAAGGGGACGTGGTCGCAGAAGGCTGTCGACAGCGCGCTAGAAAGTACGCACACATCATCAGCATCAGTGGCGTTTGGTGGGAGGGAGGGGTGCATACGCTGCTGAAGCCCCAGCCGAGTGCCCTATCAAAATGAGTTTGTGGATGTCCTCCGAGTCTCGGATGGTCGGGCGAAGGAGAGAGTTGTATACATTGGCGCATGCTTCTGCGTAGTCCTGTATAGCTGAGCAGCCGTTAGTTCGATAACCTATCAAAAATAAGGTATTCTCACGGTAGTTGAAATCTGGAGCCTCTATCGTTTCCTCATTCATCGTGGCGGAAGCACCGTGAGTCTGCGCATCGACTGCCCAGGCTTCCAAGATCCGGATCCGCGATGACACTCCTCGAGCGAGAGTGAATATCCGCCGAATGGTAATCTCCCAGTGTTCCTTGTCTCCGGGGGGCAAGTCAGCACTTTTTGCCATCTTAACCCAAGCCAGCTAAAAGGGATACGTTACGAAATCCAGTCCCGTGCGCGAACACCAAGATGTACCCACCACTGGCGGGCTTGTCGTTTGTCCCGCCATTTGGGGGTCGGTATCGCTTCACGGCAGCCTTGAGTGTCGTGCCGGATGAGCTTGTCTCGATAATGTGGTTATCTACTAGCATCAGTGTGAACTTGAAGGGAGATTCAGGAAAAGAGATACATAGCCCTAAGACGTACCTGCTCAGCACATCTAGTATTCGGTTGCCTATCCATGTTTCATTGACTTCCATCAGATACGAGTAACACGGACCTGTCTAACTTTGAACTTGCTACTTTAGCACTAGTAGGAGATTTTGCGTTTTGCGGGAGTGCCCGGTCTCAATTTTTGTCCCACGATTTCGATCGGCACGAAATAGGACCTATGTTATGTCCTTGCCGCATTCCCTACTTTGGGTTATTTCCACGTCCATTTAGGTCCAATTGCGTTTTCATTTCTCTGTGTTACTTCAAATTAGAGTTTATAGACTCCGTGTAATCCAGATTGGTAGCGTGGGCAAAAAAAAAAAAAACAACACGTGTTCGCCCAAAATAGAGGAATTCGAATCTGATTGATCTTTGAAGGTTGTCAGCGCTGACTCAGCCAGAACTTCCTAGCAGATAAATGCAAATACTTCCGGCCGTGACTCGATGAACTCTTTCTCCAAGGTACCGACGTTGCTACTCCTACACCTACCCTGGGAGTAGCCAGACACTTATTATAGCGCTGGTCTGACACAGGAACTTATCGGTATATCAGACAGATGCCAGGACCGCGGTATCAGGCCCATCGAAAGCGCAATTCAAGGCCATCAGCGTTGATGTATTTTGTCAAACTTGCATACCCTTCGTAGATATTTCTCAGGAGTAATACACTTGGTTCCTAGGACATATTTTGTCATAAACTTGGTGAGTCAATCAGTTTAATGCTTAACACAGCGCCATATATCCGCGACTCTGTTCCATGTTTATCTACGAATTGACTACACGTCAAATGCTTACCTACTAGCTCCTCCCTCTCTTACCCTCTCAACAACACTAACTTCTCGTTGTATTCGACTACTAGTGATTTTGCTTCCCCTCTTCGTCCTTTCCATTCTACGTCTTGCCACGTTTATTTTTCTGATCCTTCATCAATCTCGCTCTCCCATAGAGGTTACACCTAACATGTTTGCTCTCTTTCCTCAGAAAAACGATTCTCAGCATTCGACATCCATTTCAGATTGGTCATTATTGGTACCTTTATTATCTCTCGGTGAGCAACAACTGAACGACTTGCGACTATCAGCTTTCTTATGCGGTGAATTTCTCAGTCTCCGCTCTTGCTCTAGTAGCATATAACCTTCTCGTTTACCCTCGCTGGATATCTCCTTTACGCGCATTTCCCGGTCCTCCTCTCGGGGGAATTATCAAAGGTCAATTCCCAGCTATCATCAATGGCGAGGCTGGTGTCCCACAGTGTCAGTGGATCGAAGAATATGGGTCGATCGTGCGCGTCGTGGGTCCCATAGGAATCGAGAGACTTATCGTAGCATGTCCAGAAGCTTTACATCGAATCCTTGTGACAAATTGGACTGATTATCCGAGGGTATGTCCTTTGCACTTCAGAATTATCATAGGCGCGTTCTCATTGATACTGTAGCCCAGTTTCATGCAATACACCCTAGGTGTCGTTGCGGGACATGGCTTGCTTACTGCTTCTGGCGATAACCACAAGCGTATGAAGAAACTGCTACAACCAGCATTTTCGGCTCACAACGTATTGAAATGTTCGTGTTTCAAATCTACACATATTAATTTCAACCGATCCTAAAGTGACCAGCTGTCCACAGACGACGAAATGTTTTATGACTCAATTGATCGGTGCGTCTGTACGCATCAAACATTATGGGAATAACACCGATGTGATATATTGACAGCCTCGTTGCCCTTCTTACCAACGAGATTGGCTTGGAACAGCATGGAAAAGAGATACTGATGTTGAGCTACTGTGAGTGCTATAACATCCAGTCAATCCGCCCCGTCTAACAAAAGCTGGGAAAGTGAACAGAGCTGCTATGGATATAATTTGTAAAACGGCATTTGGATATGAGTGCGGGGCCCTATCTGAACCCCCGAGTGTGTCAAAGCTGATGGAGGCTTACGAGAGGATAAGTAACGAACAAAATGGTATGTACCCATCATTCTAACCCTGCACGATCTTGATCTCATGCTTTCTTCTAGGACGGAATGCGACGGCACTGAATGCGTTCATGGCGATACCTGGCGTGGGCCCTCTATCTATATCCGACTGGCCTTACCACTGTTGTCGCTTCGTCAAGAGGGTAGGGGCATTTAGTGAGTTTTCCTGTCGTTATCTATGCAGAACAGTCATGTAACTGTTTCAGAGCCCGTGGTGGCGTTGTTTGAGTCAATGCATCTTATCAAATCAATCATATCGACGTTTGTGGATGACAAAATTGCTGAAGCGACGGATCAGGAAACGCATGCCGAGGCAGGGACGCGTTCGGATATGATGGGTATCCTTCTCAAAGCGAGACAAGCAGAAGGAGAAGGAGAGAAGAACTCAAAGGAAGTAGTAATTGATAAGAAGGATATGCTTCATCATGTGGTAGGTGGACTCCCACTTTGAGAAACAGCATTGTGATAAATTCGTTATTACAGCTGACTTTCATCGCGGCTGGCCACGATACGAGCGCAAATAGTTTAACTTGGGTTGGAAATTCTATCTCTCTCGGCTTGCAACTAATTTGATTTACACTTTCATTCTTTCTTCAGGCCCTTTACCTGCTGGCTAAGAACCCTGAAGTTCAAGATCGACTCCGTGCAGAAGTTTCCCCCTTCTGTTCTTCCAACTGCGGTAGACCTGACATACGCAAAATTAAGCAGCTTCAATATCTGGATTGCGTCATGTATGTTTTCGTCCTCCGTGATGCAAACCATTCGCTGACGACGAATAGTAATGAATCCCTACGCCTGTTCCCCCCAATACCAATGACCTTCCGGAAGTCAACGAAAGATGATCACCTCGATGGAAAGTTTGTACCAAAGGGAACGCTGATTTATGTCCCAGTGCGTTTATCGATTCCTGCGATTGTGGTTTCTCAACTGATGGTACATTTCCATGTAGATTCGTGCCGTTGGCTGGCTCAAGAGCGTCTGGGGAGATGATGTCGCTGAGTATGCTCGTCGATAGAGTTCTGTTGACTCCCGAGCACTCAATGATAATCCCACACAGGTTTCGACCGTCCCGTTGGTCAGATTTACCACCGGAATATAATCCTATCTATTCCGCTTTCCTGCTGGGTCCGCAGTCCTGCATCGGGAAGTTCATGGCCATGTTGGAAATGAAAGCGATCTTGGCGTAGACCCCTTTTTATTGCAATTTGGGGTTTGTACTGATGCGCTCTCTCTTTCTTTCCCAGATCTCTTATAGGGAATTTCGAGTTTTCCTTAGCTTATGAAGGACAGGTCGCACAGCCGACAGCAGCTGCTACCATGAGTACGTCAGCGGAAAATGCTTTTTGATCCTCACGTTGATATAGGTTTTCTTCTAGAACCAAAGGACGGTATGCCGCTTCGTGTACGACGCGTGAGCTCACGTTGACCGCAATCTTCTAACTTAACTGGAAGAAGTTCAGCTGAGGCTCAGCCTTTTAGCTCTTCGGATCTTTTTTTTTTACTAGAATTTGACGAGAATGTTCAATATTACATGTAAATGTGCATATTTCCAGTATGTTTTGGCTCTGATCTATCTTTACTAAATTAAGTTAGCATCTATTACTCCTCTTTGCATAGCCACAAACTCCGGTCGCTTCTTGAAAGCGCCACCATCTGATATGAAAGCATAACGGCAAAGAACCTTTTTTTTGTCCTCAACTTCGACAGAAAAACGGATAGCAATAATAGCTCTTACTCTCAAGGCAAGGGACCAGGCTTTAGTATATCAAACCAAAAGTCAAATAGAGTTGTCCTGTCATTATAGAAATGCCGTATCTCTCACACTCTCACAGACCTACTTGATTGATTGGTGGCCAAAGTCAAAACACATATGTACAATAAACACGTAACAACGATTGGTCCCCTCGAATTCCCTTCATTCATAGAGGCTGTTCATCATGTCTCTTCCTCAACTTTCCTTAGCCTTCCTTGTGCTGTCCGTCACTTATGCGTTGTATCGCCGAATCACTCGCATTTCCTTAGGCGATGTGCCTGGTCCTACGTCAACTTCGTTTCTCTACGGTATGTATTTAGTGTCTTTGTTCGGAGAGACTTTTTCATTGTGTCTAGGTTCATTGCCTGAATTGCTCTCTGGGCAGGCTGGAGAGGTTCCCCCCCCCCTTCCTATCCTGTGGATAGGTCTATTTCCTGATTTCTATTCTAGGTCGACTTCAAATGGCAACAAATGTACGGAGACGTTATAAGGGTCCGCGCTTCATTGGGAGTGTGTACCGTACGTCTGCTGCAACGTTTTCTGTCCTGACATGCTTCAATCCAGGAAGAGCGCCTGCTGATCTCGGATCCTAAAGCTATTCATCATGTGTATCAAGGCACGAAATATCAGTACATCAAACCTCCTGGACGTGCTGAGCTCATTCGACCGCTGATGCGGGATCCAGACGGTACGACTCGCCCTTCTTTCCTTCGAGTCCTATTGGCGTAACCACTGTGGAAACACAGTTAATAATCACCCAAGGAACCGAAAGGCTGTGGAACCGGCATTTACGGTGGGAGAGATCAAGTCATACCTCTCCATTTTTTTTTCATGCACGGAGAAGGTATGTCTTGTGGTTAACATTGCTTCTGTTCGATGATTAATGTCAAGTCCCAAGATGACGTCAAAGTGGTTGGACATGATTCCTGCCGTTGGAGACCAGTCGATGGTTGTGGATGTAGCGTCATGGGCATCCAAGGTCACGCTTGATATTGTCGGAGAAGGTAAACCTTTCACGTTCGTGTTTCAATTTTAGCTTATAAGGAAACCCGTAGCAATCTTCGACTGCCATTTTGGTGTTTTAGATGAATCCGAGCATCCACTGGCAGAGGCGTATGCGAACTTGTTGTGAGTCCTCCCTGTAATGCATAGGATACCCTCTTTCTAACGGTCAACTAGCTTCAACACGTTTTCTGCTCCCAACAGCGAGAGTGCTCGTTCCATGAGCCTGTCGTTATGTCTCGTCGAGTGGCTTCCGAGATGGATGATAAGATTCATGGTCAATCACTCTCCTGCACGGCGGTTTTCTTACATTCGGAACTCTAGCGCCGTTATTAGCGAGATTACCACACAGCTATTGAACAAGAAGGCGAATGATCCTGTTCTCGGAAAGCGGAAAAAAGATATCATGAGCTTATTGAGTCAGTATTTCCTCTAAAGTCCATGTTGCGCCTTACCTTCATGAATTAGTCAAAGCAAAGGAGTCGAACGACCCCAAGACTCGCCTGGATGACGACGAGGTCCTGACGCTCATGAAGTAAGCACCGGCCGGTCTTCCGAGTTGATTCGCTGCTTTATCTGGCACCCCTAGCGGTATGCTTTTCGCTGGACACGAAACTAGTGGAAATACCTTAAGCTGGCTTTTGTTCGAGCTTGCCAAGGCTCCTGCTATCCAACAAAAACTTCGTGCAGAGATCAGGGCCAATCTGATGCTCCAAAATCGCAGTGATTTAGCTCCTTCTGATCTCGATAGCATGACGTACCTGAATGCCGTGTTGAAGGAGACCCTACGATTCCATCCCATCTCGTACAACAGTCCTAGAATGGCATCGCGGGATGACATACTTCCTCTGAGCAAACCTATTGCGACGAGATCTGGAAAAGTCCTACACGAGCTACCCATACCCAAAGGAACGTACGTCATCTCATCCATCGCGGGCTACAATAGAAACAAGAATGTTTTCGGGGAGGACGCGCATGTGTTCAATCCCGAAAGATGGCTGAATGGCGATGTCAAGCAGAATGCCAAAGTTTCGTTGGGGATGTATGGTAATTTGTAGGCTACATAATTCTGGTTCTGCGATAGAGGTGAGGTGCTCATAGCCACCTATCCAGGTTTACGTTCATCGGTGGACCTCAGTCTTGTATGGGTTGGCGGTTCGCGTATGTTTCCTTCTCTCCGCTGTATAATATTGCTTCTCACTTCTCTACAGCGTATGCGAGCTACAGGCTCTTATGGTAGAGATTATCGACAAATTTGAGTTTTCACTTACAGAGGATTGGATTCGCATCCGGAGGGAATCATGCAGGGTAATGGTCCCCACCCTCGAAGGAGAGGTGGAGAAGGGGGCCCGATTGCCTTTGAAGGTGAAGATTGCGTCTCGATAATTTTTTTAATCATTACATTTTTTTTTGTTTGGCCGGTGAATCGAATGTCATATAGGGTGGACAAGAGGCTGATCATTAGGGTTAGGGTTCAAGATCAAATCAAAATTGAAATTGCAATCCTTTTCTGCAACCACGACCACTGTTTGCACGGACTTTTTCGTATTCTTGCCCTCCCCGCTGTGCCACTCTATCTCTCTGCTTTGGGAGATTTTCGTGATGCCGGTATATGCGGCGTCACGGATAATGCGAATTCGGGACGACGTCATGATAGTCATACTCCGGATGGAAACAATGCCGCGCTCGGGTTCTTAGCGACTACAATTGCACCAGTAGCACCAAAGGCGTTCAAGCGATTATCAGAACATTGCGATTGTGTTGAATCAGTTGAAGGAGGACGAACGGTACGCGGCCGCTGTTCGGTTGCTCGACTAAGATTGGCTTTGGCCGTATCATGCGGATTTTTTCTGTGGATCTGATGTACCTCGGTCTCCCGTCAGTGAACCAACTGGAGAGGGCGTCTATCAAACATGAAAACATCGCTGGCGCTGTCTTTATTATAACTCAGAGTACGATGTCGTACTATCTGTGAGTACCGTATATGATCGCCTTCCTATCTTGGAAAGCTCTAAAAGTTACCTTGGACAGACCACCCACGTGAAAAACTAGGCCTGCTACCTCGGCCAATGCGTTAATCTGTCCTTTCTTCCTAACGGTTACCATCTGGCAATGTCAGGGCGAATATCGTCAAATGTCTTTGTTCCGAGTCCGTACGCTGGTGAACCTAGTTCAATCGCTGGCGTTCTGGAGCAATCAGAACCCGGAAAATCGACGCACGGAAGGAAGCTCGCTCTGGTTCGTGGAAAATTTCCTTAATCAATCCAAATAATTCTAATCGTGCTTTGTAGATTCTTCATGGCTCTGGCGGGTATGTTGCGCTCCGATGAATCGGATACGGTATTTATTCAGGCAGACATCAGCCACAAAGACTACCTTTTCTTCAGGAAGCTTGCTACCACTCTACCCATGGACACTTTTCGCTTCGACTTTCGGTAAGTGATGGTTGGTCATTTTCATCTCTATCACAGCTAGCCATATCTTAGAGGGCATTTCGAATCACCTGGTATTTGGCGGCAAAACTCATTAGAACAGGATGTTTTGGATCTCCATGTCGTCACAGAATACCTCACAACCTATTTTGGGTACCATATCGATTTGATTGTCGCCCACTCTCGTGGTACGATACTCGCCGTGCGCTGGCTATGTACAACTGAGGAAGGGAAAAATGTTTCGGGATTTGTAAATGTGGCCGGTCGATATCGCATCCGAGTGAGTGTGTTCCTCCATGCTACAGGCAGGGAAATGTCAAACTGAACGTGTTCTCCGCAGGGCATCTACAGTGAGGGCGCTTTCCCGGTTCGTAGAATTTCTCAGCTCACGACGATCGAATGTGTAGATGAAGATGAAACCAAGGAATGGAATGAAAGCTTCGCTGCTCAAGGATACCATCTCTTGAACCTCAAAGCCTTCAAGATCAAAGTTTACCCCGAAGACATAGATACGTTCGCTAATTTTGATGGGTCGCTGGTGGAATCCAGGTTTCCTCAAAGAACTGATGTTCTAACGATACACGGGATGCTGGACAGGACAGTGCCGGTGTATGTTGCGTCTCCGCTGAGAAACAGTTTGCTCATTTTTATTAGGTACGAAGCCGTGCTGTACGCAAAGACCCTCAGCAAGCGCTACCCCGGGACGCACTCCTTGCACCTCATGGAGAATATGGATCACAACTGTACCGGACGGTACGACGAAGTGGTACGGACCATTTTTGATTGGTGGGATGGCCAATTGAAAGGGAAGCTCCAGTCAGGTGTCTGGAAAGGGACGGAAGATGCGAAGGGCAAACTGTAAGACCAAATATTGTCTGTAATGTAATGCACGCTCCATTTGTTGATAATAAGGAGTGGTCTGATGTCGTAACAGCTGCTTAGTTCAAAAATCCGACAGCGCCGTGGCGTGACAGGATTACGCACGTGATGTGTGACATATCGCGAGTGTAACACTGTAGAAGTGGCAGGCCTCTGCTGCTCGCTCGAGGAGTGGGATGTAACCGGCTATAATGAGGGCCTCAGAGACTGCCCTCAAATCAATTGCAACATGTGAATGGCTATTGTGTGCTTTTGGTTGGTGAGAGGTGGGGGTGGTGGTGGTTCAAGAAGGTTGAATGGGTTGCAGATTAGGGAGGGGGATGATGAATGTGTAAATATGCCAATTGTAGTTGTGCTCATAAGGCAGGGTGTTCCCAAATGTAAGTGGTCCATGTTTTAGAAGACCATCAACCCAGAGCTTGTATGATGAACTCTGAAAGTCCAAGCGATGCATAAAACATAGCTCCTCCAGCCCTAGTGGAGTGACCACCAAAGTCTCTGCCTAGAATTGCAAAAAACTTCTTGTCAAACCAATTTCATGATGGAATATCACCATTTTCACAGAGAAAGAGTGGAGCATGTGAGCCATGAAGAAGATCTTGATGTTTTATATATTGCAATAGGAGTATGACTGAGTTGGCAAGCTCCTGTCATGTGAGTAGGATGTCAGTGCCATGGTAGAAGGGGTCAGACTTGTTGTAAGGAAGATGATATTGCATGTCATTCTTTCGAAGGATGAAGAAAGAATGTTTGATTATTTTGCAAAAGTCCTGAAGTTGTTTGTCATTTTTTCAAATGAGCTCATCTGACTGGTGGCAGCCATAGAAGCAGCAAGCAAGAATGGTGGCAAACAAGAGGTCATTGTAAGAATCTGAGATGTTAGCGAGAAGACAAAAGGTGATCAAATGGGATAATTGAAGGGGTAGTTTTTGGGATGTGGGATCACCTCTCATCTTTCTTGAGCCACAGATAGTAGCTTGCACCATGGGATGTTTGTGACTGGTATCAAAGTCAGGATAGAGGTCTTTTAGGAAGTGATGGACTCCAGTCAAGTATTTTGGGCCAGATGAGATGAACTGGGATGTATAGGCAATGTACCTGCTGAGAGTAAGTGGTGTTGGTTTAAGTGGCAGTGCATGAGTAATGCAAAACCATATGTAGTCCCATGCTCCTGTTGCATAACTCTTTGCTGCTCCAAGCTCAATCATATGAGCTTGGAGAAACAGAACACATTCATCGAGAAGAGAAAAGGAGAAAGCTGGGCGAGCAATATGAGGAGCATGCTTGCCCAGTGCAGTTAGAAAGATTGTCTCTATTATGCTGGCAGTAGATCTCTTGGTGGAGTGAAAGTGCAGATGCAGTCAGCAGGGAATTTATGATGATATTCATCCAAAAGGAGTCAGAAAAGCATATCAGCCTAAATATTATCTTTTCCATTGATATGTCAAATACGAATGTCAATTCCTGAATGGAGTATCAGGCCTGCAGCTCTGAGTAAGGATCCATTGTGAAGAGGTTCTGATACTGATAGAGAATCAAATGCAGTGACAGAATCGAGGCTATCTGTGAAAAGTAAAAGATGATGAGAGGGTTTGGGTAGAGAGACTGCATAATGGATGGCTGAAAGAATAGTGACAAGTTCGAGAAAGAAGATGTTGATCATATCTTTAGATGATAGTGGATGGAGCTGATATACAAAACTATTTCCTGCAAAAACAAATGATAATGCATTTTTTAAGCTGACATCTATTCAAAAAATCATGTCAGCTTCTGAGTCAGCCCAGAGAGCTGAGTCAACAAAATGAACACCTATAGAATCTGGCAGAATAGATGAAAACCAGAAGAGATCCTCTCTAACTGCAGCATTGATGAAAATCTTTGTAAAAGAGTGAGTCTTTCTAGCCATCTTTCTATACAAAGAAGAAAGAGCAAGATGGCCCCATGGTAGAACATTCAGAACCCAGTTCAGGTATCCACCTAAATGTTGCTATTTCTGTAGAATAGGCACTCTTTCAGGTGTTGAAAGAAATGAGTCGATCTCAGATTTAGCATCGATAACTGACTGCTGTGTAAGGGAGATACTTCCCTGGTTGGCATCAACTCAGAAGCTGATGATTTTGAGAGTCTGACCATGCAACTGTTTTGGATCATCAAAGAGACAGGAGATATATTCCCAAAATATCAAAAGTTGTACTTGCTATGCTAGTCACCACTGACCTTGATAGAAAACTTGGTGATTGGTGAAATCCCAGCTGAAGAAGTCATCCATATAAACATAGAGGTGTTAGGCCCAAGCATCACATGGGCAGATACATGTGATAAGCAGATGTTCCTTTGCACTTCGAGGAATCACCTGAGTCCACTTATATGTATATCTGCGGGTTGTGACCTAAGGTCAGACATTTTGACTTGAGGTAGAATGGTATGTATAAACTTTAGCTCAAAGCTGGGGTGTACCAGCAAGAGCATTGGTCTTAAATACTATACAGGTAGTCCTAATTATATCGCTACTTATTATGTCTGTCTGTGTCTATGGTGCCTGTTGTCCTTGAGCACTGTTACCGCACATAAAAGGATAATTGTGCTATTGGACTCGATTGTCGTGATGACTTGGTAGGCGAGTTTGTTGTGCTGACTAAGCTCTTCCACTGTCTTGTGCTTTCTGACTAGCATAAATAGGGGTAAAAAGGAAATGAAAAGAGGGAAAATAAGGAAAAATTATAACATTACCCCCTGCTTAAGACCATCATCCCAATAGCTTTAATTAAGGGAGAGTTCATAGTCATGTATGGCGTTGTCAGCATTCATATACTTTTCATTTATCCATTGATTTGATTCAGGCCTGTAGCCTTTCCAGCTGATGAGGTAGTCGACTGTTGAAGTTGTGCCACCGCCACATGCTTTGACCTTTTGGAGTTTGTGGTTTAAGACTTCGTCGATTTCATAGTGTTCCTCATCGTCGATCAAGTCGGGGGGGACAGCGGTGGTTGTATCTGGTTGGAGAAAGCAGGAGCGATGTATGGAGATAACAATGATTCGTTGAATACATCATGGACCTTCCAGCCAGTTGGCAGGCGGAGCTTATAGGTGGCTGCTCTGATTTTCACTAGTATGGGGAAGGGGCCTGTGCATTTATCAGCGAGTTTTCGTTTAGGACGGGGTAAATGAAGGTTCGTTGTGTCAAGCCATACTTTGTCATTGACTTGATAATCGTGTGAGGGTCGGTGGTATTTATCATACTGTTTCTTCATTGACAGTGCTGCTTTCTCGAGTGCACTTTTTGTTTCAGTGTGGATTTTGTCCATAGTTGTGGCAAAGCTTGTAGAAGTGGGAGTTGTCATCCTGTGGTGGTTTGTTTGGGTGACATGTGGGTGTCGTCCATAATTGATGAAGAAGGGGGTCTGTCCCATGGCAGAGTGTATCTGATTGTTGTGTTGAAAGGCGGCGAGTGCCAGCCATTCAACCCAATCATCTTGATGGTAGTTGATAAATAACCAAAGGTATTTTTCGACTTCTTAGTTTACATGCTCCATCTGACCATCAGTTTGTGGGTGATAGGCTGTGGATGCATTTCGCTTGATGTGCAACAGGTTATATAGATCGTCGAGGAACTTTGAGACGAACTGTGGTCCTCGGTTGGAGATAACTACTTGGGGCATGCCGTATTTGGCATATATCTCGTCCCGAAGGATCTTGGCCCACCCTTCTGATGTTAATTCCATCAAGCATGTGACCAGGATGATCACCTTAGAAAATCGATCTACAATGATGAGAATTGCATTATAGCCATTGCAGTCCGGTAACCCAGTAATCATATCTATGGAAATGTGGGTCCATGATTGTGAGGGTATTTCGTTTGGGTGTAGCGGAGCTGTCTTGGACTGCGTAGATGCTTTTCCCCTCTGGCATGTTTCACAGGCCCTGACATATGCAGTGATGTCGTTATTGAGTTTGGGCCACTAATAATTTCGTAGGACAAGTTCTTTGGTTTTGGCGATGCTTGGGTGTCCTGCTGTGGCATGATCGTGACATATCGCAATAATTTCCCCATATAGGCTTTGGACCCGTGGAATGTAGATTCTTTCATTGTATCAGATCATTCCTTCCTCCTTTGTCATTCCTTGCTCATGATTAAGCGAAGCAGTGATCCTCTGATTCCATTGGTGTACATTTCGGGTCGCACTTCTGATGTGTTCGTGAATCTCATCCTCCATTGGCATTATTAATGCCTGGAAGTGTTTGGGATGCAAGAGTATGACTCCTGCATTGTCATTTCCCCCTTGATCATGATCTGCATGGTGGGACAGAAGGTCAGCTTTCTTGTTGGCAACTCCGGCCTTGTGATGAAGGGTGTACTGGTACTGGGCGAGCTCAGTCACCTATCGGGCTTGCCGCCGGTTTAACTTTTGTGGTTGACAGAAGTATCTGAGGTTCTGGTGGTCTGTCCAGATCTCAAAAGTTTCAACTGCTCCGACCAGGTAGTGCCACTATTCTTCCAAGGCGAGCATTATGGCGAGTAACTCCTTGTCATAGATTTCATAGTTCCGTTCTGTTACAGTCAATGCTTTGGAGAGGAAGGCGACCAGGTGCCATTTCCCATCCTGCTCCTGGGATAGTACTGCACCTATGGCCCCTTCACTCAAATCGGCCTCGAGGCGAAACTTCCCCTCCTGGGATGGTATAGCAAGGACTATGTCCTCTGCCAGTCATCGTTTCAAATCCTCAAAGGCGAGTTGCTGAGGATTTCCCCATCCCCATGGGGCATTTCCAGTGAGTTGTGTCATAGGGCAGATGATTTTGCTATAGTCTCGGATGAACCTCCTATAGAAGTTGGTGAAGCCGAGGAAGGATTGCAGTTCCTTTTTTCTAGTAGGTGTCGGCCAGTCCATTACTCCTGCCACTTTGACTGGATCCATTTGAATACTTCCTTCTCTGATGATGACTCCGAGGTACTCGGTTTCTAGTACCTCGAACTCACATTTTTCCGCCTTCAGGAATAGTTTGTGCTTCCTCATGAGAGCAAGTACCTGTCGAACCAGGTTACAGTGTTCCCCCCTGGTTTTAGATATGATGAGGATGTCATCCAGGTAGATGGTAACCTTCCCCGTGGCGATGAGATCCTTGAAAATGTTGTTCATCATCCACTGGAAGGTGGCTGGGGAGTTGGTTAAGCTGAAAAATATGACGGTTGGCTCGAATAATCCTCAGTTGGTCCTGAATGCTGCTTTCCATTCATCTCCTTCTTTGATTCAAACATTATTATACCCCCAACGAATGTCAAGTTTGGTATAGTATCTGGCCCTCTGGAGTTTATCCATTAACTCTGAGATCAGCGGCAGCGGATATCGGTTTTTGATGGTCATCTCGTTTAATTTGCGATAGTCCTGAACCGGTCGGAGTTTGCCATCTTTTTTCTTCACAAAAAAGAAGGGGGAGGCCATGGGGGATTTTGATGATCGAATCCGTCCAGAGGATAGATTCTCCTCAAGGAACTTGTCAAGCTCTTGTTGTTTCTGATTTCCAAGAGGGTAGATTTTACAATCCAGATTCGTGTTGGCATTGGAGATTAGCTCAATCACGTGATCCCAAGGCTTTGGGTGTGGGAGCTCATCAAAACTCTCTTTCTCGAAGAGGTCTTGATAGTCATGTGCCCACTCCAGCACCATTTCCTTGAATGTCTTTTCCTCTCTCTCCTCATTGGCCTTGGCCGCCAGGTTATTGGCGTGATGTATCACTCAGATGTGGATTTCTCTCTGCAAGTTGACTGCTAGGATGGTCTCACCATCCTCCATCTCCTCATCCTATCTATCTGCTGGGTCTTCGTCAGGTAATTCATATGGGATTTTTCGACATCAGCATCATGTGAACATGAGTCGTCTGGTCTTCCAGTTAATGAGTGGGTTATGCCAGATGAGCCAGTTATATCCTAAGAATAGTTCCTTGGTTCCAAGATCTGTTACAGCTAGATCGATTCTTTCAGAGTGATCTCCGATAGTTAGTCAGAGCTCGACGAACTTCGTGATCGACCCAGCTTAGTTCTTCGTTTCATCAGCATTATACACTAGTATAGGTGCGGCAGTGGATCAGGTGAGGAGTTTGTGCTGCTGGACGAAAGTTCGGTTGATGGAACTGCCGATACACCTGCTGTCAATCAGGGCAGTTACTGAGTGTGTGGTTCGGTTGGTTAGAGTTTTGATCTGAGCCTTGGTTACCAAGTCCCTTCCAGGAGTTTTGGCTCATCAGACAAACTTCGGTGGGCCTTTTAGTTCATCCAACCATTCTAGTGCTTGACTTCGCTCGGCATGCCTCAATCCATCTACCGCTTCAGTAGTGGCTTCTTCCGTCCTGGCTCAGTGTATCCACCCATGTAGGATGGCTTTTGCCACGTTTTCATCTACTACTTCCCTGATGGCCCTCCATGTTCATTCGGTTTCAAATAGTTTGAGCCAATGTTTGGGGCTCTCTGCCTTTGTTCAGCCTGTCAGCATTTGAGTTTTGTTTTGTGACTCTTTAGGGTGTGCTTTGATCGTCTGTGGTATATTTGAATGCATGTTTACTGGCATAACTACAGAGGTATCATAAGTTTGTACAATAGTTGAGGCCTGCACACCATGAAGTCCTTTGGCTGATCCAGTGGAGTCGCTCACTGGTTGGCCTTGTCTTTTACCTCCTCGACCTTGGTCTCTTTCTTTAATTCCTCATCTTCTTTCTGTAGCTTGGCGATCTGCACTCGGATATCTTTGTGGGTTTGTTTCTTCTTTGGGCAGTCTTTGGCCATGTGACCCTTCAGCCCGCAGTTGAAACATTTGCCTTCTTTCTTCATTTGGTCAATGTCCATCAGTTTTCTGGCGCTGGTATATGTGGTTTCCATTCCAGTCTTCTGACTCTCATAAGTCGATGCCATAGGAGTCCCCAGTGATTTCCCAGCAGTTTGCCCTGACTTGTTCAGGGTTGGTGGCATCGGTTTCTTGCTATACTCCTGCAAGG